GATCTTTTAGGTCGGGGTGCTTTAATAGCCTATTACTTAAATAAATAAATAATATTACTATTTTGACACATTTTTGGTTGACACATTTTTGTTGTTATTATTGTATTTCTTATACGGTTTATAATTCTTTTAATTTTCCGCTATAAATATTTACTTTATATATTTTGTTAGTTCCCTGAAGATGACTATCAAAGATAGTCAAATATTACAATATCACTTTAATAAAATATATTTATTTTAAATGTAAATAATAAATTATAGTTTTTAATTAAATATAAAATATATATATATATATATATATTAATTAAATGTAAATATATGTATATAATTATATACATATATAACATTGTTAAAACAATGCATTATGCCTAATATGGAAAATAATATTTTCTTATCATTTTATTAATAATAAGGTGATCATTATTTATTATTTTACGCGATTTCTTTCTAAATAAATTTATCTTCACCCAAATGTTCATGCTCAATATGAACATAAATATATAAGGCTTAGTTATTCCCTCCACTACTTGAGAAATGCAGTATTAATTAATTTAGTTCTTATTTATATTTAAATTCTTAAGTTCTAATTTATATAAAATTTAGTAACTTTACCGATTTATGATTTTTTGTCCCTCATCCTGAAAATAACATTGCCTTATTTGTGGTGAAAATTTTCGTATATTTTGGTTGGACTCTAAAAATATAGGTACTATTGGTATTTCCACAATAGAGTTATCAGTCACCATGACTTCGCCATTCGTATTTGACTGTATGAAAAAGTCATCCGTTGGAAATACATATAGCTAAAATAAAGTTAAGAAGATATTGTCTTTTAAAGTGCTACGAGTATTGACTTTAAACTGTTTGTACATTTGTTCAAAGTTATATATAGATATGGTATATGATGTGAAAATAATATAACTACCTGAAATCCACTATTTGATAATTCAGTGTAAGTGTATTCATTTCGTTTGTTTTGTAATACAAATTGCACGCTATTTAGTACGGAATTAGATTCAAATTTTATAGTTCTTTCATTCTTCGAGACATTAACTTCGCGCGTTCTAGAAATAAAACTATTCATTGTTATATATTCTTATATTATTTATGTATATTGCATATTTGAGACTTACGCATAACCATCTCTGCGATAATTAAACATACAACAAATACTTGACGGTGTTATGCGTTTAAAAAAAAATCCATTTGGTGAAACTGGAGTACCAAAAAGTAATCCTCTAATCACTGTTTCCTTACAGTCTGGTGCTAATTCGCGTAATATGTTTTCAGACTGATAATTTGTGGTGTTGTACATAATGGTGAGTATATCATGCAATCTTTGCAAACGCAGATCATCAAATTGAAAATTATCATAGGGATGTGCAAAAAATCCAGTTAACAACATGACATGCTCAGCCATCTCGTTCTTGTCCTTCGCCAGCCAACCCGGTTTATAGCTTTGTTGTATAGAAAATCTAAAAGAGTTGGGTAGATATATATAATAATACGAGGAAGGGCCCTATGGAAATACAACAACTTCAAACTGCTATAACATAACATATTAACTGATGAAAGCACTTATTCATATCTTGCTTAATAACAGCTCATTTAAAAGTGTCTTTTCCATGGTGTAATAAAGTGCTTAATATTGTGATAGCGTTATATTGAATAGAACGAAAACCCATTAACATCGGCAAAGTCTTAGAAAGTTATAAAAAGTCAAAATTTCTCTGATGTACTAACAAAAATTGGTATTAGTAGTTTGAACAATTCCGAGCAGTTCATCATCTTCTTTGATGAGTAAGATTCAAATACTACTATTTTTGATGGTTTGGGCTGGCGTCTGAGCCTCTATTGGTATGTTTTAACCGTGGCATTAACATTAAAGCTTTTACCAAAGTAAATATTTTAGTGACCATCCACAATATTGTGTATGGTCACAAGGTACTGTCAACACAAATGAATATCAGAATTTTGATGTGCTTAAAAAACTGCTGTGGCATAAATGGATGAATATTCTGCAGATTAACTTAGTGCACCAAGGGACTTATTTGTTGACAGACTCAGTGTTATAGCATATGCTAAAAAAAAACATCGCAAAAGTTGAATGAATTTAATATATAAAACTTTTTCTACAAATTTTTTTTCTTTCCGCTCAATCAAATTCAATGTCCAAGACAAAATTAAACCAAGTGGCATGGTAGAGCTTGGTACATTAAAACCGACCTGGTTAATAGAACTAATCCACTTAATCACAGTAATGGTATTATAACAACAGTTTAGTTTGCAGTAGTAGACTCTCATGATAACGAAAACCTATCAACGATTACAATCGATTGACTTCAACAACAATCACAACAATTTCGGCTTACAATTTGAAAACGTTCCAGTGCTCCACATATGCGTAGTCACACTATCCAATTAAAGTAAAATGTATATACCAAACACTATATTGAATCCAAGTCCAACATCATATTTGTACTTTAATCCTTATTCTATAATAACATTTGCCATGTCAGATAATTGTACCAAATTAACAAAATGTGATGAAACTATGGCATAACTTCTAGGGATATTTTAGAGCATAACATGCACTGCCAATCAAGTGGTCTATTATGCCAACTTAGTCATCTTAACAGATTCTTTAACTTTTACTGATGGTAAGCATTTTATGTGGTGTTGTCTTGTTCAACGTGTTTTATGAGGCTTTGAGTTTGTTCCTATGATAGATAAGTCTGCAGCTGCTCAGTTGTGAATAATCACAGAGAATGTTTTTAGACCTTTCAACATATGGTGACCTTTGATGTGGTGTCTAAAATTGCTGTATCTTTTCAATAACAAATACTGTACTATCAAGTATATACTAGAATATTAATAAAAACTAACAAGTATGATTATATATATCAGTTGCGAGTATTATAGTTATATAATTTTTAATTTTAAATAACGTACAGTTCCTCTGCGTATTCGTATAGTTTACTTCTATTTATTTTGTTAGCACTGCATATTGCAATACCGGGGAATGGCGTATTTGCTACATGCGTCCGCTTCACCGACATATGTATCTCCGTTGGCTGTTGCATATAGTCAAGTGTTAAATTAACAATAATATAATGAGTCCAAATAATAATGAATATCATAAACAATAACCACAAAACTCTGAAATTATTGTAAATTGAATTTCCAAAACATTTGTGAGCGAAACGTTGTATTTACCTCGCAAAACGTATTGGGGTTTTTAGCATAAAAACTTTAAGACCATGTATAGCACTTTTCATAAGAAACTCATGCAGCAGTTGTTGATAAATCCGTTTAATGTGTTTTACACCCATTTCAATGGACTACTGAATATGCACTCGAATTTTTATTAAATGGATAACAATGGACTATTGATTATTGGTTATTCGATAGGCAAGATTGATGCCATAATTATCTGATTTCTAATGTGCACGAGTATTCATAATTAATAACTAAAATCAACGAATTATGACATGCAAGTGACAACCTTAAATGACTAATCAGTCATATATTTGCATCATCTATTGATTTAAATAAGTGGTTGTCAGAATTGAAATCTATCATTAAAATTTTTAATATCATAGTTTTTAACGGCAGCAATCTATGTACTCTGTAAGCTTATAGATTATAATCTATTAAGTACATAACTTCATGTTTTGAACTTTTTTTTTAAAAAATAAATTTTTGTGTCTAAGAAATGATAAATTTTATATCAATCGAAATATCTTCTTTGGCAGTAATATACAAATATATTGTTTATGTTTTGAAGCGATTCATTGAAGTGATTCGATGCACTTTTTGATTTTTTCGTGATATCTAAAGTATTAGTATTAAAGAGCGCTTTGTATTGTTAGGAATAAATAGGAATCTGATGAAACAGAATTTGGTGAACTGGGGACATACAGATGAATTTGCCATTTAAGTGCTACGTAGTAGCAAAACTTGACCTTAATATAGCCTCCAGTGACAAACCCAACTACTGTCCCTCAGATTGGAAAAAACTCCATACGTCATTGATTTTACGGTTACAAAGACATTGAAAATATATCAAACACTCCTCCGATCATATGCCGACTTTTATTCTAATTGAAAATACACTAATAGTCGAATCAAAATCTAAAAAAAAGCTCACAAAGTTTATATTTATGTATATATGTATATGTAAATATATGTCTACATTCTTCTATACATGCAATCAAAACCTGTATTTTATATATACATTAAGACTGAAAAGTTTTCGGAAATTCTCATTTAAAATTCGCGCGCTGTATATTTTTCGATATTTTAAGTTTATGTAGTTTGGCAGCACTGTCCTTAATTACTATGCCAAAAATGAGCTCGATCTGTCAGACAGTTCGTTTACGGCAGCTGTTGAAACCAGTTCACCTCAGTAGTGCGTTGCGAAATGTCTTCGACGGTCGTACGACCGTCCTGGAAGGCTTTGTACCACTCATAAACTTGAGTTTTCGATAAAACTGATTCCCCATAAGCCTTTTGTAGCATTCGCAACGATTCTGCACACGAAATTTCGTTCGAAACACAAAATTTGATGCAAACTCTTTGTTCAATATTTTTTTCCATTGTTTTTTTCGCAACGCCCTACTGAGGTGAACTGGTTTCAACAGCTGCCGTAAACGAACTGTCTGACAGATCGCGCTCATTTTTGGCATAGTAATTAAGGACAGTGCTGCCAAACTACATAAACTTAAAATATCGGAAAATATACAGCGCGCGAATTTTAAATGAGAATTTCCGAAAACTTTTCGGTCTTAATGTAATCAAAAAATGGAAAAATTAAAGGATTTACGGACCAGCAACCAGCAACAGTCGTTGTTGTTTGCACTCAGAAAAATATCCTTTAACCACGTCCTAGTTAAATTGACCTGTTCATTTTGTTAGAGAAATTTTATCTCATTTGGTGAAGAAGACATGAAAACCAATATATTTTGAGATTTTTCTGAGGATTTGACAGATGTTGATTGGCATTAATATAAAAAGTGTTGATTTAGAATTCCAACACACAGTTTTAACAACTTTTCGAATACTCTACCGTATAATAATCGGTATATATATCTTAGAAATTATGTTTCCAAGGAAACTACCATCTGATTCCTATCAGCAATGAAGTCTACATACATTAATAAATTTTTAATTAAGTCAAATTAAATTATTAGTTAAAAATATATAGTATATAGAACACAACTTATCTGAAAGAAAACTTTTTACTTTACAAAAGAGGATGCAATTTAACTGATTCAGATGTTTTCAATTGACATCTTATATGTGCCATCCCAAAAAACCAGCAGTAATATTAAGAGTAAAACCAGCATTACCAGCATGTTTTCATATATTTTCTTTATGAATTATGTGGTGAATAGATCTATACTAAATTTTTGAACATTCTACAAATACCTTAAATCGATATTTATCTTAATCAAATTCTTCTAACATAAATATGAATAGTACTGTTAGGGATCATGTACCTTCTTTCACATTTTGAATTGTTCATATTTTATTTCATAACTAAAACATATCTTTCAGACATAAACCAAAATTTCACATAAAATTTTTTATTCAAATTTTTTTCATCCTAAAACTATCTTATATCTAAATAAATACTTAATACTAATACATCATCACATCTGGTTAGTGGTCCAATAACTCCACCTTGTATCCTATAAACACAAATATAAGATATTTAATTGAAAATTAAACCGAAATCACTTACGCACATGGGATACCTGGCTTGGAAAACAGATGATACTCTTCCGATTCTTCAACCTAAATTATAAAATCAATTTATTAGTTAACGATTAAAATTAAAAATTAAAAGTTTACTTACGATTTAAAGAACGCGAACCATTTCAGAACAGTTTCCAGTGTACCTCCATGGGACCAGTAATAGGTTTACGTTTTCAGTTGAACAATATAGTACTTTTAGTATCAGGTGGTGTACCAAAATGGAATTTTGGACATTTCGACAAGTTCATTGGTATATCTAATCAATTTTTGTCACGTCTGGTAGGTGAGAATGAGCAAATAATTTTTGCTAAATTGTTAGACAAAAAGAATATATTATGAAGTTAGAGACTCTGATTTTATTTAATAAACTGTTCTTTATTGAATATACTATACCTCTTTCCTTAATATCTCTAAGTATTTGGATCAAATGATGGACATCTAATAGAGAAGAAACGCATTTATGATATATTTTAAATTCTATAATATCTCTATATATATATATTGATTATGGTTTTTTAAAAAAGTTCATCCTTTAGAAGAACAATCTTATTTCCTCTAAGCTACGACTATATATATATTAATGCTATTTGGCTCTTAAGATACCGGATTTTAAAGTTGTAAATTTATCGCTATTGCTAATTTCCGTGTCCACTATTGTTTGTATGTTAATTTTTAACTTTGCCTCGATGAGCAACTATATAAGTTACTATATGTTATGTTGACATATAGATCAGAAGAAAAAAATACTCAGAATGGTAGAGTTTATAAAAATCTGTTATACATTTGAACGCTTCAAAAATCGTTAACGTCCAACAGAGTCTTGTACAATAATTAGATTGCAGATGGACAAAAAATTAATCGTAGGAATGAAATGAATTAATCTTACCTTAATGTCTTAACGTTATATAGTATACAACTTTTTCAATCAAATGAGAGCACCAAATTAGACAAATAATATGCGTATCTAGCTGCGTGAAAAAGATAAGTCCGTGAAGAAGTGAACCGCCTAACATAAAACAATTTGAAGAGAAATGTAAATATTCATCATGGAATAATAGAATTTCATTATTTATAATTATTGAAATTATTATTGGTAACTTACCGACTTACTCATACAATGCTGATGTATAAATTTTTATAATCTTTT